TGACAGCACTAAACTCATACCTATCCATAATTACGCTGAATGTAAACGGACTTAATGCACCAGTAAAGAGACGGAGTGTGGCAGATTGGTTAAAAAAGCATGATCCATCTATATGCTGCTTACAAGAGACACACCTTACACTTAAAGACACAAACAGGCTAAAACCACAGGATGGAAAAAAATATATCAAGCAAACACTCAAAAAAGAGCAGGAGTGGCAATATTAATCTCTGACAAATAGACTTTAAAGAAAAATCCGCCACAAAGGATAAGGAAGGGCACTATATAATGATTAAAGGGTCAATACACGAGGAGGACATAACTATAATAAATATTTATGCACCCAACAACAGGGCTCCAAATATATAAAACAAACTCCAACAGCTCTGAAGAGAGAAATAGACAGCTCAACAATAGTAGTAAGAGATTTCAACACGCCACTTTCGGTGAAGGACAGAACATCCAGAAGGAAGCTTAACAAAGACACGGAAGAGCTAAATGCTACAATCAACCAACTTGATCTCATAGACATATACTGAACGCTGTACCCAACAGCAGCCAAGTATACTTTCTTTTCGAACGCACATGGAACATTCTCCAGAATAGACCACATATAAGGCCATAAAGCAAGCCTTAACAAAATCCAAAACATCGAAATATTACGAAGCATCTTTTCTGACCATAAAGCCATAAAAGTGGAAATCAACAACACAAAATGCAAGGAAAAAAATCAAACACATAGAAACTGAACAACAGCTTGCTCAAAAACTACTGGGTTATAGAAGAAATTAAGGAGGGAATAAAGAAATTCATAAAATCAAACGAGAATGAAAACACATCCTACCAGAACCTTTGGGACACAGCAAAAGCAGTGCTGAGAGGTCAGTTTATAGCAATAAATGCACACATCCAAGAAGAAGAAAGGCTCATAATCAAAGCATTAACCCTACAACTGGAACAAGTAGAAAGAGAGCAGCAGAAGAAGCCCACAGGTGCCAGAGGAAGGAAATAATAAGAATTAGGGCAGAATTAAATGAAATAGAGAACAGAAAAACAATTGAAAGAGTTA